TAGTACGGACATTAGCGGTCAACCAGTCCTCTCCAACCAACGATGGGACGGACTCGAATGCATAGGCATGTTAAGCTATGAACATGGCCTCCAAACATCAAAGTCAATGGGTTATTGTTCATTTCTCGAGAAGAACCTTAGCCTGACAGGGACACCTCAATCAAGCTTTGTTGTCGAAGTACCCAACAGGCAGAACACCCAGCTCGTGATGGGTAGTTCACGCCACGAACTTAAGATCCTGACCACGATCTTGAGTTTGTTCCAAGGATCCCTACTCCACCCCCTCGGCACATCCCAACATGTGTCGTCCACAACCAAGGTCGAGCATAAACCTCCACTCATGAAAATCACAAATTTTCACAAAATAAACAAGTCAAAAACAACGACGAACAGATAGCTAGCAAACATCAACGAAAGACATAAAAACAAAGTAGAAACATTTATAAATGTCGACCACGGAGGCTGATGTTGTCTGAATATTACAATAAGTACAGGTACGCAGGCCCCGAATACAAACAGCCAAAATATCATAGAAATACTAGTCACTCTGCGGAGTGCTCACTTTGACCTTCACCTCGGGGAATCAGGAAGAGGAACCACCCTACCATCAATCACTTGGGACAATACCCTGACACCATCAGTGTTGAGCCCTGGATTCAGCACAGACAGTTGGGTCAGTGCAGTCTCGAAGCTGTTGGTCAAAGCATCGACGCAATTCGACTCGAGGATCTGGATCCGAGCAATTAGCTCTTCCCGGAAATGCAAGTCAGCGACTTCTTTAGGTTCTCCATCCACATGCAACATGAAGGCCTTCAAATCGGTGACCTCCTTTTCATACCGTTCCCTCTCGAGCAACAGGGAATCCCTTTCCTCATAAACTTTGGCAATTTTCTCCTTCTCCCTTGTTAACCTGTTGGCTTGCACCCGAAACTTCTCCTCGCTCCGCTCGAGGGCACTTTTTAACTTTTGTGTCTTCGCCTGAAGAGTCGCCTTCTCCAACTCTAATTCCATCACCAGTCCAGAAGAGCCATCTCCTTCACTTGCAGGACAACAACCATCTTTGCGACCTTCATCAAACCAACCATCCCAAAAGCTAGGTGCTTCCTTCGACCCTCCTCATCGAGGCGTCTGATAATGTCAGACTCAGCATCAGACACATTCAGAGGGAAACTGTAACGCGCGTTAATTTAATTAATTATTTAATTAAATTAATTACGGATTAATGGCTGAAAGTGTTGTTGAAATTGTTGAAGTTACGAAATATCGAGAAATGTTGATTTAAGTTGCTAAGTTGTTATTCAGTTGATATTTAATTGATTGGTTGATTAATATTAGTAACAATATTAATATAGATATTAGAATAATATAAGGTTTATTAGTTGGGCTCATTATTTGATTGTATAGAGTAATATGTGGGGTGTGAAAGTTAGGCCCAATAAGAATATTAATAATTATAAGGTTAAGCTAATTATAAGGAGAATTAGGTTAATTGAACAAGTCTTGGAGAATTTTGTGGAAACATGAGAAGTTGCAAAGTTGCAAGGAAGAGGAAAATAGGAAAATAAGCAAAGGTTAGAAGCTACAACGAGAGACTTTAATCGATAGAATAGAGTGATCTCCAATCCAAGGTAAGGGTGGGGTTCTGACTATCTAATGGGTTGCATGGTAAATTTTATATGGAAATTGGTTCGTATGAAAAACCTGTTCTGTGTGTGTGAACAATGTTAAATATTGTGTTTAATTATTGTTGTGTTCTTGCTGTAAATTAGTATAAAGTTGGTTTCCTGTGAACATTGATGTTGTTGTAATGTTTTATTGCTATTAATCGAAGGTAAAAATTGAGTATAAGGATCAATTGCAGAAAATTCTGCACGACTGGAAAAATCGAAGGTTTGGGTGTGCCGAGGGGCACACAGACTGTGCCGAACGGCACAGAAGGATGGTGTGCCGAGGGGGTGTTACCTTGGAAAATATTAAGGTATTCAAGTACGTTTAGTAAATGAAGATATTCTCATAAGCTAAGAGTCATCCTCCAAAGTAAGGGTTTTCTGGGAAACGGGAGCCAGTGTTTGAAAAGCTGGTTTTATTAAGTTAGAGTTAATGCTTAAAAGGAGTCACACTGAAACTGTCGAAATTGAACTACGTCGACTAGAAAGAAATAAAAGAACATATGTCAAGAGGTCAAAATTGGTTTAGTCGACCAAAGGGTGAAAGACAAAGATTTGTTCGAAAATGGTTTTAGTCGACAAAAAAGGTTTCTTAGACTTAGAGGAAGTATGGTTATTCTTTTCCAGAAAGAAAGTGTCGAAGCAAGGCAAAAGCAGTTTACGTTCAAGAGGTTTAGAGAAATCATGGGCGGTTACCAGCAATCCACGATGTGTTTGAGCGCCAAATAGGTGGCAACATCTAGTGAAGCAGTTACCTCAAGATGTTAATATTAGCCGTAGATTATGTCTAGGTAGTTACATTGTAAACACTATAAATAAGAAGATTTAGTATAGTTTGTGGTGTGTTCACTTGTACTCTCAAATCACTTGTCAAACTCTGTCATTCCGAGTGTCAGGAAATCAAGAGTGAAGAGTGCTTGATGTACATGAATCACCATTTTTTATTTCAATACAAATCCTTTATCTTTCAATTATATCTTTTGAGTATTTTATCTGCTTTCTATTTACTATCGAGCAAGATCTATATGTTATCTTCTATTTCACATAAACAATTCAATACTATTTGTTGGTCATGAGTCACCAGTTAGTTAGTTTAGTAAGTCTCTCTTTCGTATGAATATCTTCTGTCGGTCACGAGTCACCAGTCATTCGATCAAATCATAGTGTGGAAAACCATTACACATGTTCCCCCAGTCAAAAGAAAACCATCTCCCTTGACTAATATTTCGACATAATAGGTGTGACAGTAAAACTCTTAGCACGTGTCTTGAGATCAACTAGTCGATCTCGCAAGTTACCCTCAGTTTAGGACTCTGGGAGGACCAGCGGTTGTTTACCATTTTCCACAATAAACAAATTGGCACACCTGGTGGGACCCAGTGTTAAGAATTTGTCTTAAGTATTTATAAGTGGATGCAACTTAGAAATGGGGAGTTAACCAAAGAGTATAATAAACCATTATCTAAGAAGCATATATCAAGAATGGCAATTCCTGATAATCTAAACGTAGATGAGATACCGTCACGAACTTTAATCACTACTGATCCAGTAGTTTCTCAAGTAGCACCTTTTCCTCCAGTAGGGTCGACTGCTGCAGTTTCCATATAAATGTCTCAGGCTCCACCGGGAAGCCCAAGACCAGTAATGACTACGACTACCATACCTAATGTGCCTCGTTTTGGTAATGTAGATTCGGCTTACGGAATGTCATATTCCATGATGCCAGGATACCAGTCAACGTTGAATACAACAGTGGTGCCGGATAATGTTCAAAATTTTAACTCTCCTTTACAAGGATCTGTGTCAGGAGGAAATAATATAGGCAACTAAAATAAGGTAGCACCTTCTCAACCTATAGTACCGCCCCTTACTAATACTTCAGTAGCAGTATTAAGGCAACAAATGGATGATAGCAACCATGAGTTGGTTAATATGTTAACTAACCAGATGGGTAATGTATTTAATCCTATAGTACAAGAGTCGACTGAGACTAATAGGCAGTCCGCTAAAACAAATCGATTGGTAATTGCCCAATTAACACGTTTGTGTAATTTTTTAGGTGCTCCTCCAACGCCTATTCAACAGGCACCACCTGTTCGACTAGATGCTCTTGGTCAAATAGACATGGGGATAATACAGGATGAAACTGTCCATCAGGGGAAAATGCTAGTGCCTCCATGGAATTTGATTTTCGATCCACCTAGGGTATTAGTACATCAACATTAAAAGGCTGATCAAATTGTTGATCAAATTCGACAAGAGGATTTAGCCGTAGAAAATAATTTAACCACCATTGTCAAAAGAATCATGGCTAGAAATGGAATGAATACCGCACTTAAGAGCCCAACATATTCCTCCCCTTTGTCTGAATATATTTTACAGACTAAAAACCCTAGAGGTTGGAAAATCCCTAAGTATACGAAATTTGGGGGAGAATCTGGAGAGTCGACAGTGGAACATATTGCTAGATATTTAACTGAATCTGCGGATATGTCGAATAATGAAAACTTAAGGGTAAAGCACTTTCCTTCTTCCCTTACTAGGGCAGCTTTCACGTGGTTTACCACTTTACCCCCAAATTTGATTGACTCATGGACGAAGTTAGAGAAAATTTTCCATGAGCAGTTTTATGAGGGTCATTCGAAAATTAGTTTGGTTGAATTATCAAACATTAAAAGAAGGTTTGTTGAAACCATTGATGATTATATAAACAGATTTAGGTCATTAAAAGCAAGATGCTTTACTCAAGTTCCAAAACATGAGCTTGTTCAAATGGCTACTGGAGGTTTAGATTATTCCATTAGGAAGAAAATAGATCCAACCTTCGTGAAAAGTATGTCACAGTTAGCTGATAGAGTTTGACATCTAGAGCGTCTGCGACTAGAAAAGGTCAGACATACTAAGGCTAAGACTAGAAAAGAAAAAGTAGCCTTCATAGATTATGATGACACATATCCCATTTGTGAGGCCGACTATACCTCACCAACAGAGGCAGAGGTCGACTTGGCTGAAATGAAGTCAGGGCCAACCTATGAGTGTAAATCATTATTTCCTGCTAAAGGAAAGAATACGGTCAAAAATAATCCAAAATTTCCAGCAAAAACTTATACGTTTGATGTTACTAAGTGTAAAGAAGTTTTTGACTTACTGGTTAAAGATGGTCAAATTTTAGTATCCCCAGGTGCTAAATTACCACCATTAGAACAACGACAGAAAAGAGGTTTTTGTAAATTTCATAATTATCTTGGTTATACAACCTCTCAATGTTACCTTTTCATGGATCTCGTGCAAAAGTCGCTGCAAGAGGGTAGGCTGAAATTTGCTGCAAGAAAGATGAAGATTGATACTTATCCTCTTAGGCAAGAGGAAGCTTTGTTTCTCGACCCAGTTGACATCAACATGGTAGAGATTACTGAATTCCCTTATGATAATATGGTCGAAGAGGGAACTAGAGAAAGTCCTGATGTCGGCCTAGCAGATGTGTACCCAAGGCCTGAGGAAGACTTGCTAGACTTCCTTTACCACTGTAAGAATAAAGGTTTGCAAGCTTGCTTGTGTCCTAGATGTGGCGCTTTGACTGACAAAATAGCTGCTGAAAATTTCTAGAAGCTACAGTTAGAAAAAAAAGGCAAGCCATACAATCAAAGGTTCCCTACACCAAGGGACCCAAGAAGAGCTATGGGAAATTCTCATGCTAGATCTAGGAGTTATATTCCCTCAGCAAAAGCTCCTAACAGTACCTGGATTAAACCCCAAGGGAGAAAGGGTGCACCAATTGATGGGGCACCAAACAAAGGGAAGTCGGTTGTTGACTACCGACATGAGTTTAAGTCAGAGAAGAAAAGCCACATTTCTAAAAACTACACGGGGAAGAATCCCATGACTCGAACCCAATGGAGACGATTCCAGCGTCGAAAGCAGGCTGAGAGGCAAGCAGCTGCTGGCCAAATTGCTGCAAATAAAGGTGGCAATTAGAGGCAGTACAAGGTGAAAGTCAATTCCTATGTGAAAGAACGAATCAAAGAATTCGTGAATCGACCAGCTGCCAAATGTTCTGAAGAAGCCACTGACGATTTTGATTCCGACTTTGAAGAGAGTTTGAATATCTTAGTCAATGTAATATCAATTTTTCCAACAGAATATGATTGCTTGACTGAAGTAGAAGATATCTACTACAAATAAGGGAAAAGACAACGCTTTTTTTGGCCTTTAACAACGCTTTAAAGCGCTGCCTAAAGCAGCGCTGCTAAAAGAAAAGACAACGCTTTTTTTCAATGTAAAAGCGCTGCCTTATGTCCACTTTAGACATCGCTTTTAGAATAGATAACGTTTTTTTATATACACCTTTAGCAGCGCTTAGGCTTTAGACAGCGCTTTGTAATTTTTTCCAGATAGGCTTTAGACAGCGCTTTCAAACTTTAGGCAACACTTTTTTTTAAAGTTTTTACAGCGCTTTTCTCCTAAAGCGCTGTCTATTGTTCACAATTTTTTTAAAATAAATTATCTATTTTAATCATAATTTTTACCATATTTGGTAGCTTCATTCCAATATTTTGATCCAGGTTTTCAGAATTATCTTTTATGCACCATATTTGGTAGCTTCATTCCAATAAAATATACATATATAAAAATTGCATATATATATATATATATATATATATATATATATATATATATATATATATATATATATATATATATATATATATATATATATATATATATATATATATATATATATATATATATATATATATATATATATATATATATATATATATATATATATATATATATATATATATATATATATATATATATATATATATAAATTGATGATATAGACAACAACAATTACAAAATTTATGATACAAGTTAAAATTCTACAAGTTAAAATGCCTAAAATATTCAAAATTGAATTTACATCTACACATCTTTCTATCTTCGAGAATTCTCATGAAACAACAACAACATGAATATCTTAGCTCTATCTTCTACACATGTACCTATAAACCTGGAAAAAAAACAAATGATCAAAATTCATAACATGATAATATTAACGTTGCACTTTATTCGAATTTAATTTATACTCAAAACTCGAAAGTTATCGTCAAAGGAAATAAGACAATATACCTTAGCTTATAAAATTCTCAACCCGATAATGAATTGACACCATTTCTCCATAAGTTCATCTAATTGATCTTTTGAGCAATGTGCACAATTGAATTCCTCAAAGTACTACATATATAATAATATAACATAGTATGTGATTTAGTTAAAACAATATGTCATTTTATGAGAAACACAAAATATGAAAATAGTATGTAATTCATAAGTTAGAAATTCATCCAGTGGATGAAATCTCTAATTGATCCAAAAGAATAGTTTCTTTCATAAACCTCAACATAAAATAGCCACAATCTATATCGTTACGCTGGCGAGGACACTACACATGGAAAGAAAATACGAATATATATCAGGATATACCCCTTAAATTGTTTTATCAAGTATCATCACTAAAGTAAGCAAAACTGAATATCTCTTTGTAAAAATATACCTCCACTCTGATCCATGTAACGTTGTTGGCTCTACTTTTTGGTACTTGAATATCTCGTTGGGAGCGAAAAGCAAGTAGAACGCTATAATAAAATATAAACGACTGTTTAGAAAAATCTCACATAGAATCATAAACATAAACACAAATCCAGACATGTTGACCATAAACATAAACATAAACATAAACATAAACTTGAATATCTCTTTGGGAGCGAAACACTTACGTGTCAATCATTTGTTTCAAATCTGGATATGTTGACCAATCATTGTATAACGAGTCCATATAATACACAGTTTCTCTCATAGGATTAATCGCAACCAATAACCAGTGTCCACAGTAAGATTAAATAAAGATTAAACAATGGCCAAAAACGGAAAATTATAATAGATCAAGTTAGGATGAAAATCTAACCCGTTGCCAGTATTATATGGAAAAAGAACAACTTCTCAGTATCTTTACTGGCCACGAATAAACCTACTACATATGATATGACATCATCTGGTCTCGTTACAATCAACCCGAAATTGACAGTGTTGGGAGCTAAGAAGCCAAATATTGCTTCTAATCACGCAGGCGCACAATGTTGTCATACATAAACCTTAAATTAAAACATGATTAACATTATACTATATTCATTGAAATGAGGGACTAAACTGAGCAGTAGTTTTTTTTTGTGCCACAGTCTTCTTAGCAACATTTTTTTGTGTGGAAATATTGCTAATTTCAGGCGCCTTAATTACCCCTACTGAGTTGTGCAGTCTCTTTAGCATGAATCTAGTTATCATATAATTAGTTAGGGGAAGTATAAAATCTTAAATTAGCATTTCTCATAGCATAAATGTCATATAATTGTGTTACCTCAAATGATATAATTGACTCGGTATCCTGCCTAATCCCCTTATCTTTTAGAATGGATTTTGTGGGAGTCTAACATTACCATGTAAATAAAATGTAAGTATAATTGCCATAAAAAATTTGAATAGTAAACGATTTTAAGAATACCTTATTATCTACTCAAACGAGGCTTGACGGCCATGCAATAAACGATCCTATTGCATCTGCCACCAATGTTGCATCCGCCACATCGTCAGGTAGTGGTAACAATGCACCCCCCTCTAAAACGACATCAACCGATACTTTTAAAAATCCCTATGGAAGCGGTCTATGGTGAAGCATTTCTCCCGAAATATTATACACTTTTCCCTTGCCAACCATCCGATAAGTCGGTGTCGACAAATAGAGTTGACACCGGGAAATGTCCTATAATTTAATAAATATGGTTATATAATTAATAAACATGGTTATATAATTAATAAACATGGCTTTATAATTTATAAAGATGGTATATAATCACCTCAGGAATATTTTGTCCAAAGTTACCATTGATACTAGCTTTGTCACTAGTATCTTTAAATATTGTAGCTTGATCGATTTCCTTTTCCTTTCTCAGCTCATAGACTTCTTGTTGTAACTTTTTCAACTTCTTCTGCAGTTCTTTATTGCTTGGAGATTTTGTCTTTGTTTTTTTTCAAGGATATTGGAGTGATCCCAAATCCCTTGCCCCTCACCCGACCAGAATACTCACGAATATCTAATGCTTGTGAGAGTATTCTTCTACAATCATTATCTTCGTCTGGAGGTATAGACTGGAAAAGACTCTCCTGAAATTCATATAAATATTGTAATTAAAGAATAATATGTTAATAAAAGAATGATGTAAATAAATAAATAAAAGTATGGTGTAATTAAATAAATAATGTTATACTTACACATCTCTCTAAAATTTGTTGAACTTTTTCTTCAACAGCTCCATCCTTACACACACGCGCTTCCTTCCACAAAATGTGTTCCGGAAGAGATGTTTCAGAACTATTCTCTTTTGTTAGCTACACATTAAGCCAAAAAACATGATTAAATATAAGCGTGTATATATTATAGATACTTTGCAATTTATAGATACTTACAATAGATTGTTGTAATCGTGCATATCCCATACGGCCTTTTCTGTATAGATATGATGGACTTGATGCTCGTTGTCGATTTACGACACTTAAGCTCTCAAATTTTTGGGTACTTTTTTTCGATTTAAAAGTTTCCCATTCTTCAGCTATAATCAAATCAACATATTTCCTTGGAAGCTCTGCATCAACAAAAATTTTATCCGCATCCCTTAGAAACTTTTTTGACAAGAAAGCTCTAAACCCTCTATGTAGTTTCCCGACCAATTTAAGAATATAATCTCTCCTTGTATCCTCAATGATGAACGAACTTTACGAAAATCATAAACAAAGTGCGTTAGTATAAGTAATTTAGAGACATAATCGTCAGTAAAAATAATTAACATCACATATGGTACCTGTATCTCACTCCATATTTTATCTTTAGCGTCGTCCAACACTCTTGCTCTCCAATCTTCACATGTGATTGGAATTTCTCTTCTTACCACGGAACTGAGATAACTTGTCAATGTTGAACTGTTAGGCTCAATGAGTTAGCCTTCTTGGCTCTAATGCACATCATACTTTATGCCTTGGTCTCTATCCCGTATTATTCTCTTCATTATTATTATTCCTCTTCTATATTCCTTTTCCGTTTTACTAACGGCCTTATCTCCATCATGCACAGAATCATCACGTGGGTGATCATCGTTAGTAGCCATCTAACCTGTAATAAACATAAACATAAACCCAATATAAAAGCGAGTCAGAAGCGAGTCAAAAATATATATAAAATGACAATGCCAAAAATTAACATAAACATAAACTTAAACATAAACACAAACATAAACATAAACATTTTAATATCCTACCTCTTTCACTAACATCTCTTTCTTTTCTTGGTTGGAACATGAATTACTTGCTTCTCAACAATGCGGACGGATGGATTTATCCAAATTCTCTCATTATAATCATTTCTGATATATGATTCATCCACTATAATATTCTCATCTTGATCATTTATAATATACGACTCATTCCATCTAATACATGACTCATTCTCATCATCAATACCACCTTGGTCTACACCGTTATCATCAACCACTTTGTTA